TCAACCAGATCAGGACTCGAACCTGTGATTTTATCAAACTGTCAATTGGATACTGATTATACTGTCACTTCGATATATTTTCGGCAAGTTCCATGAGATGTACGCAGTAAGAAATGATTTAATTTCATTTGTTTCTAATATGAAATTAGACAAAGCCTATGAAGGGGAACTCGGTTAAGAAATTATTAATTAAGAATTAATATTAGGATTAAAATCAATAAATACCATTTCAATGCCGTAAAACACAATCGAAATCTGCAAACATAAAGAATGGGTAGGTTTAAAATAATGGCAACAGTAGGGATCGAACCACAGACGTCTCATATTAACAGGTCAATAAAAGCAGACTATAACACTAAAAATGATCCGTTTTTTCTGTTTGGTTACAGGCTGCGTCTCAACACACAACAGTACATGTTCACAACCATCAGTCATGGAAGGTCTCAGATTTGATGCAACTTTTAGAGGGTGTTACTGCGATGACGTATGCTGCTCAGCCCAAGATTGTTGCTTTGACACCACGAATTACCAGACCTCCAAAATCTATAATTATGATAACTACTACTTCAAGGACTATTATGACTAATACTAAATTTCCACCAGCTGTCAAAGTGCTAGCAACAGACATATGTACTGAAATAAGCATTTGTATTTTGAAGACAATAAATTTTCACGAGAACAGAATATAATGCCTATATGTCCATGAACTAGTATGTCGCGGAGAAAAGGTTATATTTGATTCTTACTATTTTCTTTCCATTTCCCCTTATTTCCCATTTTTCTTAACTCCCACTTTCCCATACAGCCCACCCTTGGTTCCTTTAATTCCAGCATCATCCGGTTTTGCATTTTGGATCATTTATTTTTTATCCAAATGTTAATTGTAACAGTTATAAACATGCATCCCTTCTCCACCCTCTTATTCTGGTGCCCTACTGGGTGCTCCACTAATGTGACTGGACTGTGCCGGGGGTGGGGGGGGGCACGAACATCAACTTTCGTTACTGATCTTTGTTCTCATTTTTTAAGTTTACAATTTTTTCTTATTCGCTATGTGTATAAATTTTTTTTTTGACAAGCGAATCTACGTTTTACATCGCAATTGATCAGTTTCTTGCATTTCATTTTCCTGTTAAAGTATGTTAACATATTTAGCAAATATTTAGCATTTGTTATTATATAGCAAAAAAGAAATGGATGAATTTATATTAAATATCTCTTTGCATCTCATCAAAATGAATGAATTATCAGACAAGTATTTATGATTTCTGTTACATTCCTAAGGTTAAAATGTCTTTACTAATATTACTTTTATTTTAGATTTTCGGGTTTCTATATACATGTAGAAATTATCGTACTACACAAAAGCTAACTTTTTCTAAGAACATCAACAATTCTCCGAGATGGTATTATATTCCTCGGCGGATGGATAGTTTCGATGTCCATGACATATTGCCCTCTGTGTTTTATACATCTTGTATACCTTTTTGTACCTCAATGGGTGCCATAACTTTGATATTATGGGGACTGCGTCCTGTGAACATTGCTGTCCGATATTGCTCTACAATTCATATTTCAAGAAATTCATTTTTATGTATTCACCTTTTGTGTCTGTAAAACAGTAAAAAACAACGAGAATTGATTAACATTATGTAGAAACTAATAGCAACATTCAAAGCTCATTCAAACCATCCAAAAATATCGTCTATCTGTCAGAAACAAATGCTTTTGGTGTTTTGTCACTGTTTCCGAAACAGTACGCACTTGCCGTATAGCTAAACCATCTTTTCCTTTGGACCATTAGTAAAGTTAAAGTGATTCATTATTTTGTATGGAAGACGCAATACCACTTAATTAACGTTCTTCTACTACATGTAATATGACAATTTTTTCACAAGCATCTAACATTTGTTTTTATTTGTTTTTATTGGGATTTACGTCACACCGACACAGTATAGGTCATATTGCGACGTTCCAGCTTTATTGGTGGAGGAAGACCTAAGGTGCCGTTACGTGCATTATTTCAGGCACGAACGGGTACCTGAGTAGAACCACCGACGATCCGTAAGCTAGCTGGATAGCTTCCTCACGTGAAAGAGTTCAAACCCACAATTATGAGGGGCAAGTGGTTTGAAATCAACGACCTTAACCACTCGGCCACGGACGCGTGGTTTGAAGTCAACGACCTTAACCACTCGGCCACGGACGCGTCCGTGGCCGAGTGGTTAAGGTTGTTGACTTCAAACCACCTGTCCCTCATGTTTAATAACAAAATTTCCAAAGCACACATACAACCTTTGTCACCAATACACAAAACCACTATGTCATAGTGGTAAGTTTCCTTTTTATTTCGGAGGATGTATAAAACAGAACTATCTTGCACTTAGCTGCTTAAAATGATCTCATGGTAATTGCTGCTTAAAGTGACATTATGCCCATCCATGAGTAAACGTCGATCGGGTTTAGGTATAAATTGAAATAACTTTACATTTTGTCAAATTTGTTTTCAATTTTATAATAAACGTCACCTAAATAATCAGTTAACCCCGTGACCAATATGGATATCTTAAAATAAACTCCTTTTTAATGTATCGGTACATTCGATTTATAAAAATAGTGGGATAGTCTTTTTATATTTTTACCAATTTTAATAATTTATGCTAAATGTGAGTTATTATCAATTATTGGCTAATGACTATTATCAATTTAACAGTGTAGTCCTTGAAAAGATGAACATTAGTAATGATATATTTCGTGCCCTGAAATACAAAGAAAACCGGGAGGATTTAATAAACAAAGAAAAAGTTCTTATCTGTTTTTTACAATATACAAGGGTATATTTGTACAATATTTTATTACATACAATATAAGATAAAAAAATTAATCCAATATACAATAGAGATAGGTACAATATAACGTTTTATAAAAGCTAAAATAGAAAAAACGAAACCCCTAAAGAACGCACAAAACGAGAAAATTGAAAAAATTGCAGGCTCGTATTGTCTGAGCCTGTTCATGGAAAGTACACATTACCGTCCTCGTCCCCTAGCACCGGCTTATGCAGAATTCACCATTTAAAGCAAACATCTAAATCACATAATCATATGATCTAAGTCAGATTGCAAGCGTGTTTTTGATATTGTACATACTCGAAAGTTTTTGCTCAGATCTTTGTTTAATTTTTGTATACAGTTTATTTGCTTTCAAGAGCGATTTCAGAAGAAGCAAATCTAGAAAAATCTACCATTCAAGTCTTACATGTAAAATCGGCATTTGTCAAGTAATGTAGATTTATTATCGTGTTTAAAGTGACATTGTGCCCATTTTTCGCTGTCAAGTTGAGTTGGATTAGTAATATGTTGACAATTGTTATGTTGACTGACCAATTATTTATAATAAAAATGTTAATGATTCAATATAAAACAACCTTAATTATAAAAAGACTGTCCCACATTTTTAAGAATTGAGCGTTACCGATACATAAATTCTGAACGATATTTACATGAATTTTCTTTGGTCACGTGGATTTAATTTCCATTATAAAATACAAGCAATTATCATAGTATTGCAAGCAATCCATAAGTCCCCTACCGGTTAGAACCCCAGCAACATTCTGATGGGACATTGGCCATTCAATTTTACCAGTGAATGAATGACATGAATGAACTTAAAATCTTTTGAGTTCTAAGTTTGTCTATAACACAGTAATGTGTTAAGTTTCCCTGCCTAGTAAGGAAATTATGTTTATATAACCTTGTCATATTATTACGATGTGGGATTTTAAAGGACATCTTATCAGGAATGAAGATGTTGGAGTAAAAAATACCAATTTCTCGAAAAAAATCTAAGTTCAGGGGGGACATGATTCTGGAAATAGTCTTGCTAGAGTATTTAACCTTCTCAAAAATGTTGAGTGATAATAAGAAACATATATTTGAAGTTTGAAGTAGATACATTAGTTAATAAAGAAGTTATTTAAAAAAGACAACATTTTCTCCATAAAAATTCTAAGTTCAAGGGAGGTAATACTGATAATTTTTGTGCTAGAGTTGTAAACCTTGTCACATATGATGTGGTTGATGACCAAAAACTTATATTTAAAGTTTGAAGTAAACACCTTAAGAAATAAAGAACTTATAGTGAAAAAGCTAAAAAATTTAAATCAGAAATCTTGAAATTCAGGTTATTTGTTTCCATAGCAACCAGAATTTTCAACATAGGAAGAAAAGAAAAAGATGTGCATAATCTCCAGACTGCCATCAACTCATATTTCAAGTTTCATAAAAATATTTTCAGTACTTTTATTTTTATCACTGGATCAAGTTTATGTGTTAAATTTGCCATATTTTCAGACTTTTTGTTGCCATAGCAACCATAATTTTCAACATAGGAAGAAAAGAAAAAGTCGTGCATAATTTCCATACTGCTATCTATCCATGTATCAAGTTTCATAAAAATATTTTCAGTTCTTTTTGCGTTATCGCGGGATCCAGTTTTGTGGACGGACGGAGTGACGGACTGACAGACAGACAGACGGACAGACAGACAGACGGACGAAGGGTAATCCTAAAGTCCCCTCCGGTTAAACCGGTAAGGGACTAATAAAGTTAAACCCAATTATGGCAATATGTCAAGTTATTCACGGACCATTAAACTTGGATGGGCAAAATGTCCCTTCATTTCAAGTTAAAGTGTCAATCCTGTTTCTCTAAATTAATTTGTGATTCTCCATCAACAACAACAACAACAAAACAACAACAACACCAAACCCAAACCAAAAAAAAAACCCCAATATATTATCGTTTAGAACAAACTTCAAGGATATATTCAAAGTTTCAAGTTTCACACAACTAATGTAATACTAGTAGTTTGAATCATTCTGTCCATGTGTGCTCAGTTATGACAAAATACATGTACATTTGTACTAGCAATAATTCACATGGTTATAATAGTTCTAATTAATATTTTTCCTAGAATATTTGCATGCTACTTTATAGCAACTAAATAGCAATAGAATTTGGGACACGCTTTGGATTAAGAGCCCAGTACTTTTCAATTTTTCTGTCCTTATTGTTTTTCTCTTTGTTTACTTGCGCTATTTTTGCAAGGTCTGCTTTGAACTCATCAAGAATCTTAAGCGCTTTGACATCAGTTATATACTGAACTTCAAAGTTCCCTAGCGCATGCGTGTTGTCAGTGCTCAGTGTGTCTGTTATAACCAGCGTGTGTCGTACGTTGTTACTTTTTGTGGAAGATGTTGCATTAAGATTCTCCTCTTTCAGTTTGTCTTTTGTTTTTGGTGGAATTCCCGTAAGGTTATCGAAATTTGGTGGGAAGGCGTATTCCTCATACTGCCGGAAGTTGACAGCTGCGTGTTTAAGCACTGCACGTAAAAATGATACTTGTCAATGTAGGCAAACTTGATTTTTTCTCAGTAAATTTGTCATCTTTTCCAAATACACGAGCATACCAAGACCTTGTTCATCAACTGGAGCAACCATTTCCTTCCTCCATTGCTGAAGCTCTTCGTCATTCAGAACTTCCTTATCCGAGGCGTAGTAAAGATTAATGTATTTCTGTACATATTTTAAAATTGCGTTGTAAATCTCCATCGCATCGTCTCGGTAGTAAAAATCGGGCAAACAAGAAGAGCCATCTAAACCGCGTTCTTTTATGTCATTCGGCAGTGTACCGTCAACATCCAATCGCCAAGCTTTTATTTTTCCGCTTGGTCAGTTCAGTCGCTCCATCTCTTCCAATATTCAGCAGCTCTACAAATATATCCGTTCTTGCCTAGTAGCAATGGAATTCCCGTCCAGTTTATGCCAATAAGGTAAAGGAAATGGGGCATCAGTAGCTTATAGATCGGATGTGTTTTTGTACATTTGCCTGTGTGTTATCGCAACGACTCCTTCCATCTTCAAATGAGTAAATCCAAGATGTGTGACGGATTCGTTGATAGTTGGTCATCTGCGACGTTGAACCACATCTTAGCTAGAACCCATGTATATTCAGGATCACTCGGCAGAAACACAGGGTTATCGACACCTGGCTTCTGAAATAGTTGGATAGCGATCGGTTTAAGAGTACCATCATTTTGTTGATAAAAAAGCGCAATGGGACTGGTCATGGTAAAGCCCGACTTTATTGGTAAACCATCCATTATCTCATAATCTATTATGAAGATACGATTCTTTGTTAAGGCATCCTCCAAACTCATTTCTAGAAAAGGCTTCAGCATTTCATTGTTGACGGGAAGTTTTGAGGGAATCTTCGTGCAGAGGTGAATAACGTCAGGATTTACACCCATCAGACGCTGCATTCCAAATAATTTATCGTCTTTCCATCTAAAAATAAATATCAAAACATGAAATAATTTCATATCTTTTCATCTATAAATATACCGTCGTTGCGTCCTTGTCGACAATGTCATACCATCAATATTACGTTTTCTTTCTTCTTTTTCATAAATTTAAACAATAACCTTTAACATCGTGTAGATCTACTTTTTAAATTTAAATAGCTCTGTTTCTTCCTCAAATGCATGTATAATATAATATTTTGTAGATACTTTGAATGATAAAGAATTTTCTTTACACATTTAAGGTTATATACATAGAGTATACACATTTTGACAGATCGATAACTATTTCATATTTTGTTTTGTGGTTTATTGTAAAAATAAGCAAGAGCAAGCCTAACAAGAACAAGAATGATTGCTCACTAAAACTCCCGTTACATCAAAAATACTCGAAGCCGCAATTTTTGCCAAAACAGTATCATTTGAACGAGCGTGCTTCAGCGGTAACGTTTAACATAGTCACATTTTTTTTTTCAAATATAAATTGATTAATACAATAATGTAATATGCGTGAGTTGTTTTATCACTATAAAACTTGAAAATGTTTAAAACTTTTTCCTTCAGGAAAAAAAGTCAGAACAATCAATACATGTATTGAATTTTTTATTAAAAAAACCACATACATTTTCTATTTATATCGTTCTGATTTGTCCAGTTTTATGTTCAACCATGCTTCTTCTTTTAATATATCGAATATATTTTATCTTCCATCCAAATCAAATATTCAAATTGAAAAACAGCTCAGCACCACATGTTTTATATTTGCTTATGGTCCATCCTTGTTTCTTTATAATTAAAAATACACGTAAAGAAAAGATAAAGAATGCTGAACTATTTTCCTTTACCATCTAACTATAATATAGATATATAAGATAAATATTTACCTTCGTAAGTTTGATGGTTTCGGGAAAACCGTTCCAAATACTTTCTCCATATCTTCAAATGATTCAAACTGCCCAGATGTAAGTTCATCCCATTTTGCTACTGCTTTTAGTGAGAGTAATTTTCCGCCTATTCCAAATGCTTGCGTTGCAAACGAAAATGCTTCATTTAGTGGAAGTTGTTTTACGAGAGGAGGACAGCCTTGTAGTCTTTCCCCTGTCAGTTCATAGAGCTTTCGCATCTCATTGAGTTCACGTTTTCTTTCCTCTGAAATTATTCAAATTATTGTTCATTATCCCCAAGGCGTAATTTTGCAAAACAGTCGTCATCTCAAAGCTATTAAGTAAATATGCTATTTATTTGCAGTGCATGATAATATTTCAAAGTAACAAGTTTACCAAAGCATATTTCTTCAGTCTTGATTGTAAAAGAAGTTTCAGCAACTTATACTTTTTCACTCAAGTCCGCTTCCTGAAGCTAACCAGTACAGGTGTCAAATAAGAAATGCTAGTGACCCAATACAATGCAAAACGAAACCATACAATACAAAACAATACGATACAATACAAGAAGGGCTCAGACCGCAAGCCCTTATTTTAGAAGGACTTAACTAGGCGTTTGGGCCTGTCGAGAATGGAAACGTACTTCGAGAAATTTATACTTTTATCTTAACCAATAACTTGTGTGCAACATTCAAATCATTCGCTCACTCCGTTTTTACAGAATTATCATTTTATTGTGCAAAATGTTCTAAAACTGGAAAGCGTTTAAACACCTTTTGCCAATATCAAACCGAGAATAACACTTCATATCGATTTTCATTTTAATTCTGAGGATAGACCATTTCTTAGCCTTTTTCACATAAATCTTTCTTCAAGTGAAAATTTTCAAATATTAAGTCCTCAGTGAAGTTTCTCAAAGGCTATAAGGGGGAGGGGGTGGTGCAATGGAGGGGCAAAAAAAAAAACAGAAAAAACATAAATACAATAGAAAAAAAAAAAAAAAAAAAAAACTACAACAACAAACATTAAAAAAAAAAAACAAAAAGAACACAAAAAAAAAAAATCGGAATAAAAAAAAAAGACCAAAAATATTGAAAAAAAAAGAAAGTAAAAACAGAACAACAAAGGGCGCTCAGAATAAAAAAAAAATAAACAACAAAAGAAATCAATAAAAAAAAAAAACCGAAAATGAAATAAAAAGAAATAAAAAAAAAAAAATAATCAATCAAAATAAAAAAAAATAAAAACAATAATAAACAAAAAAGAAAATAAAAAAAATTAAAAAAAAAAAAAACAAAAAAAAAACAAAAAAATAAAAAAAAAAAAAGAATATAATTTGGGACAATGGTTGTAATATAGGATCATGTCTTTTGTTTGTAGTTTAGTATTATCTTGAAATATACATCTTCGAATTACACAATCAGCCGTAAAATAATGTTACTGCGTCAGCAACGTCACTCCTGATTATGATTGTATGAACTTTGTGCATGTGTTATAGAACAATATGTGCAGATTTGCAATAAAATGACACCTATTTAAGTATAACTTTAGCTATAATAAATATACCAATTTGTTGAAATGGGTTAACCATACATGTACCTATATACAAAAGGAATGCTGTAGTTTTGCGACTTAAAAGGATCGATGCTGTTGCATTTCTTGGTGTGTAAAGCATAGAACGAGGGATGATCCAGAATTACACGGAATTTGTTTACAATCCTGATGAATTTAATGTTTTCCTCATCAAATTTATATCTGCTGTATGTAAAATTGATGTTGCAAAATATGATTGATTTAATGGCTATCAATACCGTCCTATGTCGCCTTAAATAACCATGGAAACGCTACAGCGGCGCAGCTCAAAGAACGCGACGTTCGTTGACATCTATAATACACCAAAAGTGTTTGATACAAAAATGGAACTTGAGCTTGGCGTAAAACTCAAAAAACGTCATGCTAAAATTTCACATCATTTGAACATTGGATTTTTGTGCAATCAAGTTTGAAGGTTTGTAGTTGCGACGTGTATTTACTAAAAACGTCGTCATTAAAGCGTCAGGAAAGCGGCACTTTCATAAACATTTGTCGACTGTCCGAATAGTGTCCTTCAGAAACATCTTAAATGACAAACGAAACCCGACACAAGTATTTTAAGTCAACAAAGGGTTAGGTTAATCATACCTAATTTCAAAGTGAATAAAAAGGGCGATAAGTGGGAGAAAATAAATGCATCAGTTATACAACTTTACAATAGTTTTGGAAATGCAATTTCTTTATTAATACATTAACCAAGTAAGTAGAAAATACCTTTATTTGAACTCTTTTGTGGCAGTGATACATCGTTTGTTCTTGTAAGTTTGATCACATTTTATGTTGGTGAATACTGGAAATACCGATTTTGCTCCTGTTTTTTTGTTAGTTGTTGTAATTCTGTCAATTTTCCACCCTTTCTCACCAATCATTGTACCACCACGGATCTCGATCTCATCAATCACGTCAATCTGCAAAGTCGATTTTGATAACATAAGATTATATACAAAATGTCTACCACTATCAACATCAGACAAATTTATAAGGTCAAACAAATTCATGTTTGAACCATTCTCAGTGTCTTTAAAGGAGGGTTAAAGTTTTTCCTATCGCATTTAGACTGTGGAAGCAGAACTATGTCTTTGCCACTTATAAGATAATTATAATTCTATATAAACATTCAAATTACAAATGAATTGATGCGCAAGTCATTTGTATCCCCATCCTAGAGAAGAGCGGGTGCTTTGACTTTTTGAATGATCATTTTACCCATGTAAAAGCTTCCTTGCCCCAGGACAGTTTGAAGATCACGCACGAAATAGCACTGTACTGCAAGATGAACAGTTAATCTTCGCTTATTTTTTTGAGCCCAAATCAAAAACCGTCGCATTGAATTTGCAGTGTGGTGACGGGTTAATTGTAATAACTTGGTTTATTTATCTCTCCTATTATGGCCCGTGGATTTTGGAGAGCTGAGAGACGAATTAGTTTATAATGGCGCTTTGGTATTGTGAGACATGAACACAAAACTATTTTGATACACACAAAACTGGTTTTGATACGTCATCATAACATTCAGCGCAGATATTGCTTTCATTTCAACAACTTTTTAACATTGTAAGACACGTTTTTTACCCACTTCAAAGAAATTGAACGGATAAAATATATAAAAATGTAGAAACCAGTATTGTTCTCCTTGGAGAACCAAATCTATAAAAACTTTGGCAACATCGACATCTACTTCGGGTGATAACAACCAGTGATAATACTTCAGCACAGCAAACATTTACCTTTGGTTCAACCACATCGAATGTAGTAGTAAAACCTCTTTCAAAGTTGTCAGGAAAGTGAGCTACAGCAAACTCTTCTTCGTCACCCTCTTTGCCATTGCCTCGAAACCTGATATTTATTATACCCCTGCATGCACCTAGCGGCTTATCGCCAGCCTCAATGTCAAGTGTATATTCATGTTCCTTTTTAATTGTCACTTTTGATAAACTCTTCATCCTGCAAGACATGAAATGGGTATTATGTTATGAAATGTCTGTCCTGTAAGCTCAAAAGGGAACCTATCGATAAAATCGATAAAATTAATCGAAGGCTGGTTTATTTAACCCTCGGGCAAGGTGTAATTTCTTTGTGACAATTGATTTAAGATACTGATTCCAACTTAGCCACTGATTCAGAAATTATGTGGGATAAATAGTCGGTCACCCGCGGAGAAATTGGTAATTGGTAGTTTGTTATAAGTATTTTTATGACTCAGAGGATATTTGTTTATTTTTGTGAGGTTTAAAAACGGTATAAGAGAAGACTATTTTTGAAGTTCACGAGATGAAATAAAATAACATCTTACACAACAAACAAACAATTTTTCTTTTAATTGGTAATAATAAAAAGTCAACGTTAAATGGCAATTGTATTATTTATTTTATATATAAAAAGAATTATCGCTTGTTTTTTAATAATTAAAACAAACAATTCTAGAAGATGTAAATGTTACACCATACTAATGATATGATATTAAAATGTTTCCAAATGCCATCAAGAGCAGTTTTGTATATGGAAAGAAGTGTTCTGATATTGCTTTTCGGTCCCGTGTTCAGCGTGCTTTCTGTTCCTATTGAAAAGTAACTTACTAATGGCTAACACCCATATGTATATTGCTTTTCAGGCTTAACATTTTCAATTTTGCCGTGTTGGGCTTTCTTTAGGGATTCTGTATTTATCTATTTTATGGTCACATCCGTGTTATTTGTGCCGTGTGGCGGCTGTAAAAAGTCTCCCCGTACATTTAATCAATGATGTTATATTTTCGATCCTTGAAGATCGTTCAGCACGACATTATTGTTGTGCTTGTGGTATTTTTAGTTTCAACTTTTCGGCATTTCCTATTTGGGTGGTTCCAATATTCCTACTTGAATAATGTTGAATCACCCTTAGGATATGTTGCCTGCTTTTTAAATTTGTCTTTTGACGTCTTATCTGTGATACGCAGGCTTCATAACCTCTGATCCCCTTTCAAAATTCCATTTTATTTAGTTCCGCCCATTGTTTTCTCGTTTAGGGCACACGCTTTTTATTACTTGGGGACCATACGCCGCTTTTCATGGAATGGCACGAAAGTGTCACATTGAAGGTTCCATGATAACCGCCGTATGAACACATCTACGGATGTTTCTAAATTCAAAATTTTACTATTTCACGTTTAAATGTTGAATTCTACTTAAGCCGGTGCTAGGGGGCGTGGACGGTAACTTGCACTTTCCAGTACCGTCCATGAACAGGCTCAATCAAACCGAGCCTGCAACATTTTCAATTTTGCCGTGTTGGGCTTTCTTTAGGGATTCTGTATTTATCTATTTTGTATGACAAATGATTACTATATTGAAATTGTAGCAAGACACCAAAAACATAATTAGCTTTTTTTAGAAATAAAATGGTAAGCGTTTCTGAGGCATAATTGGCCTTTAAAGGGAGACACAGGCAAAATTTTCATTTCTTAGTTTTGAATATTTCATTCATTATTCTGTAAACGCTCTCAAAATGAATGTATTAGACAGCCAAAGAAACAAAACTTTTCTTCATATAAAGAATAAAATTGTGGTTTTCTAACTTGACCCGTGTGGGTCAGGTTAGAGCGCTAGAATTTCACAAAAGTTATCACAGTGAACTCTGGAAACGTTAAAAAAACATGTCAAATGAATGACTTAGACTTGTTTCAATCATACAATATCAACACTGTCTGTTATTGTAACTTCAATGGTTTGTTCAAGTCACCTGACTTATTTTCAAACTATTCGGTGATTCTATTGGCGTCCACATTTTGTTCAACATATATAGATATATTTACGCTTTAAACCAAACATATATAGAATTTAAACAGAAATTCATTCTGAAGCTTTAATAAATGTCATTCTAGCGTGATTTGAGTGCATTAGATCATTTTAATACTTTTGTCATTATTTTGCCTGAATATCCCTTTAATACATATATCGTATCATAAATTGTTATTGCATTCAACGTCAAAATAAAGTTTTAAACAGTCTTTGTCATTAAACACAGATTTTGATCACGTAGAAAATATTAAATAATAAGTGAATCAATAATTAAAAAAAAAAACAACAATTTTCAATGAAAGACGCGATGATATTGTTATTAAAAAAATCAGAAATTAAAAACGCTATTTGGTGATCAGTAAAATGAATAAATTGACGTAAGTTTAATCTTTTTGATTTTTTTTTTAATTTAAGTTGTTTATCAATATCGGCTTTGCTCTGCTCAAAACAAAAGTCAAAGTCAAATAGTTTATTGGCATAAACATTTTACACGTTCATTGCCAAGTTTTATGAATGGCGGTTTATAATTTAACATTGTACATAGAAGTACATTCATTAATTTTGTAAATAAATATATGTGCAAAACATAAATAATAAGTACAAAAAAGTATAATGATGAATTTGACATAGAATTGCAAAAAAATAACAGGGAAAAACATTGTTTTTTTTTTTTCATTAAAAAAGAAAATTCTTAACAGGAACAAGACAGTATTTCTTTTTTTTTCAAATGATAAGTTAATATATTTAGCTAATTTTATCATTACGTTTTTCAAAGGAGAAGTCAAAATTACCAAGTTCCCTATAAACGACAATATTACGAACTCCTAAAATCTGTTTGATAAACGCGCTCTATGTCTATGTGATGAAATACCCAGATTTCACATCCATATGGCAATACATGTATTGGTAAAACCATTGATTCAAAAAGTGTTCTTTTTAGTAACATCAAAATAAACTACATCAAAAAGAGAATTTAGTGAAACAATGTTTTTGTCGTTTAATATTCTTTAAGTTTGATAATAGCTTCCATTTGCTGATAATGTAACACCTAAATAAGTAATTTTATGTACAACCTTATTTTTTCATTATAGTATAAGAACTGAACATTATCATTTCTGTTGCCGGTATTGAAAACCATTTTTTAAAAGTCGTATCAACTTAAACAGTAGTGGTACCAGATGGAGAAAACAAAATAGAAAAAAAAATAATAATAAAGAAAGATCTTCTTCACCTTAAAAGATAAATCTGCCTTTTTGAATGAATACATTGAATGTAAATAAGAAGTTAATTATATCTAAAAACGTATTTTATGCATTTATAAGATCTGTTTAAAGTTTCAAACTTGTATCCTATATTTGAAATAAAAGCGTAAGTTATTTTTCTTCAACGCGTATAAATAAAATTCATTTATCGGTTAAAAATTATGAAAACATGTACCACTAATGTTTTCGAAATTTTAAATAAATTATAGAAATAAAATAAAACATACCTTGCGGGCTGACACGTGGTACTCAAATATAAGCTCTGTCTTCTCTAGCGCACAAATGTCATATCATACAAATATATAAGAAGCATCAAGCGAATGGAAATGTCTGTCCCCTCCAGGTCAACCTCTTTTATACGGAGGTAATGTACGAGGGTTGGTAAAAAAATATCGCGGTAAGATGCTTCCTATTTCTTTTTTAACATATGATATTCATGAAAATTCTACTGAGTCGAGATTAATTTCATACAAGCATTTATCATTCTTTGCTCAATTTACACATTTGATTACAAAATTACACGCCCTTTAGAAAAGTACCCGTCTAAAGAAAACATTTTTAAGGTTGACACCAACAAAATAATTTATGTCGACTTAAACTATGGGCGTGTGAACAAATCTGCGGTTATTTCCAAATCCTTAATTTAAACGTTGAAATCTGGTGTTACCGGACATTCCGAGACTGCTATATGATAATTGGAATATAAATAACAACAAAATATATAGAACCAAGATTACCATATACACACCATGCATGTCATGCTGCTTGATCTTACGTATGGACGTATAGAAATACTTTTTACAACAAGCAGACGACACAAACAACGCTGATGTTATACTTAGATACGTCGAATGAGAGGCGTTTAAGGTCCCCTGGCACACCATAATTGAAACTGTTGCAATAACTTGTTCCTGTACAACAGTGCTTCTACATGACTCATACAGTCGAATAGTTTAATATGAAAATGTCGTTATTTAGAAATTAGTTAAACCGCAAACGTGTTTCTTACGGCGGCAAGACACTTCTTGACTTATGAAGAATGATAACACTTATCTTTCAAGGCTGGCGATATTGATCGCTGGTACAATTTTCATTTGATTTTAGCAATCGTTGGTAACTATGGGAGAACAATACTTCCGATTATGACTCGATTTTTGTAATATGTATATGTTTGTCATATATTCCATTTTTTAGACTTAGTAAACAGTTACAGAGATATTACTGTCAGAATTTGTCTTGTCTTACGTTGTGACGATAGGTCAATAAATTAGGTAACACACGTATCCACAAACATTTTGATCACCCCTGAGGTTTTATGTTGCACAACTAGTACAATACTTATAATATATATTCAAAATAAACTAACATGAATGATTTTTAATAAGCCGGGGATTTTTTGTTGTAATTTAAAATTTTGCAGACACCAGGAAGTCAAAATACCGGTATATTATTACCTTTTTACACTACTACCGTCGCAATTCCCACTGTCATTTCTGTAACTTGATCAGTTTAATGTAACAATAACCAACTTAATTGTAGGAGCGATATCTAAAACTTCATCATTTACAGGGTTGCACTATTTTTTTTTTTAAATTTAGAATGCGAGCGATTATCACCTTTTACCGACGTTTTACATTTCTGCTGTTCATTATCAATAGTGGAATAAATGCAGAGCTGTTAAATCGCACACGTTAATCGGCGTTCTCTTCTGCATTTAAATATGGTATAATCAATGGCATTTGCTGCATTTTCATCGGTAAACATTCAGCTTATGAAATATTTTTGTACGTTTAGAAAAATTTCATGTACTATCAAGCTTATTTCAATAAAAATTTAGCAATATGATTCAAGTTTTGTCCATAACAGTGGATAGAGCTTTTAGAAACGTTCCCCCTTCTACGCATTTCTTCATTGAACGACTTAGTATTGTCTAAATGAAAATTCAATCTTTGATCATCTTGATCCATTTTTCTGTTATCTGTTTCTGTAATAAGTCAATGATCTGTCTGATCTGCTGCTATAGCTGATAATTGTTTCATTTTAAGGTTCTAAAAATATAAGGATTTAGTTTTTTTTTTTGCATGACGGGAATTGAAATAATTTTAAGAGATTAATGTTCCGTTTGATGTCGGCATTGACCAGTAACTTGTGTGCGACATTTCAGGTCAAGTGCTCGCTTCGTTTTTCCAGAATAATTATTCTAAATGTGAAAAATGACTAATGATTAAAGAAAACGTTTTAATGCTTTCCACTCAAATCGGGCAGAAAAAAAAAATAAAAACATGATTTTCTATTTTCTATTTATTTCTGACTTTATATTTTAATTATCTTTCTTTTTTATTGCCTCCAGCTGATTTATGAAAGAAATTCAAAATATTTTTTCAGGCTTTTGGACTCAAGTTGAGTCCCTCTAAACGAACCCCGCTGAGGTCTTATATCCCGAAAGCATAAAATTTAAGTTTTTTCAGTAAATAAACAGATGCATTTAAAACTATACAATAATGTATAATTATACTCGTTAAAAAAATGATGATCGATTTTTAATGCAGTCTTGCAGTCGATTTGAGTGAAAAGCATTTCAACGTTTTTCAGTTTGGGGTCAATTTGTGCAATAAAATTGATTATCTCTAGAGAGCGGAGTGAGCGAATGATATGAAATTGTGTACACGAGTTATTGGGTCAAAGCTACATAAAGTTTTAAAATATATATATTCGGTCCCGTCATATCAAAAAACCTCAATGGAGTCCCTTTAACACATTATTCATTTGCAAGTATCCAAAGATTTATCTATATGTAAGCAATTTGAAATTTGGAACTGGTTCCTGAAATTAAATTATTGTTTGATTTGACTGTTTTAAATGGAGATAATGAAGACACTTTCAAAATATAAATATGCAAAGTTTACCAAATCGGTATTCACCTCAAATTCAGTGACACTGAAGGACAGAAGAAACACAAACAACAACAACGGAAAGAATAAAGTGCAGTGAAACAGCAGTGGTACTTATACTGCGAGTGTTTTATGCAGCAATTTACACAACTATTATCACTGCAGTATTTTCATTTGACGGTATTGATAAATGAACATTTCATGACGTTTCTGTCCTCCTTTATTTTAAGTTTTTTCTTTTACGAAATCATAGAAAACAGAAAATATTTTACAGTATGCGAGATGCAGGTATAAACTATATACACTTGCCCTTACCTAATTATAATAAATTAACATATTTTGAATTTTACATAAAATATTGTCTTCTCACAATAATAAAGTTCTTTTTACCCAAGCATATTAATAACATTTTTTCTCATTTCATTGAGTGTAGGCTACTCCTTAAAATTGTCTTTCAATTTTATGTCATTAATTTCCTTTGGCACTTTTAAAATAAGTCAATATATTCACCTAAAAGGTTATGTCACACCGGTAAAGAATTTGGAAAATCAGGAAGTTGTAAAAAAGTATTCCCCTTCTCTTTATATGAGAACATCGCACGATATAGTACTTTAATAGCATACTAATGTTCTTTCAGTGTGTTTACTTCAATAAAATTAATTATTTTTTTACTTTTTTTTATTTCCTTTTATAGATTTCCTTTTTTAGTTTTTTATTAAATTATTTCAATACCAAAAATTGGGAAAATTGTTCCCAAAATCCTGATTTTATTATCATATTTTATATTTAAAAGGCTTGACCCAACCTTCCTGTAAAAGGACAGGGGCAGGCCAAAAAAGGCCGTATTCTTCAAATAACAAGTTTTTCAAAAATAACGTTTAAATATTTTTTTAAAAAACTTTTCAAAAATTTGGTTTTATTTTTTTTTCTTTTTAAAAAAAAAACTTTTTTGATCAGGGTGATAAAGTAAGACCTAGATAATTTCAAAGATAATTTTCAAGATAATCTTTTATGTGACATTTAAATTTAGGTAGGGGGGAGGGGAGTCAGGACGTCCGTGATCGAGTGGTTGATTGTCGTTGACTTCCAAACCACTTTACCCCCTCACCGCTGGTAGGTTTCGAATCCCGAAAAAAAAACCCCCCCGCCAGGGACTTTTGGATTATTTTCAGGGAAGGAAGCTATCCAATCTAGCTTACGGAACGGTCGAAGTGTTCTACTCAGGTTGCCCGTTCGTGTCTGAAATAATGCAACGAAGGGCATCTGAGGTCTTCCTCTACCAGTTTAAAGTTGGGGAACGTCGCCATATGACATATACTGTGTCGGGTGTGACGTAAAATCCAATGAAAACAAACAAACAAACAAACAATGGTAAAGGGGGAGCCCTCGAGCGCATTGAAAACCAAAATTTATTGGAGTTAATTGTAGACTCGACTTTAATCGTGTATAAGTGAAACAATGAAAACGACACATCTCGTGTCATTTAGCAGCAGCTAACATTTTCACAATACACTAAAATGATACTCAAAATACTATAGTCAATGATGGTGAAATATCATATGACTATTATAACATCACTGTGGAGCCACATTTCTCTACGTTATCGCGAAGCACAATTCACGTATATCGGCGTTACCTTATAAAAACGGCTTGAATCACATTTTATAAGTTTATTTTCAATTTTCTATATCACAAGGAGTTAGGTTTATGTCACTGGCCTACCAAAAATCGAAATTATACGAAATATTATGCATTGTTGTACTTATAAGAGCCGACAAAAATCCAAAATCTCGTTCGAAACGGTGGTCAAGCCATCATTTTCACGAATGATCTAGAAAAGTAAACAATTTTGTGGAAATAATCTTGATGAGGGATAAAGAGTTATGTCTTCGCAGCCGTATGCGGCTATTGATTTTTTTCAGTTCGGTTAAATAAAAAAGATATTGGTCAGTTTTCTTACCGCGCTGGAAATCCTGCTAGGTATCCGCCATTTATTGCACAATTCTGCGTTACTTATTGCACGAATCGTGCTTTATTTTTTACATTCCGGCGTTACTGGATATACACGGTGGCTTTAGAGTTATTTGAACCTTGGCGTGGTAGTATAAAGTCTACCATTTCATTAAAAGCAAAAGTTATGCAGGTATGGCCGATGTTCCGAAACGAGTAGGTAAACTATCATATCGCTTGAATATTTATTATTAACGGTTTAAAAAGTAACAGGTGAATGCGTACATAGCAACATTTGTGTTTATATGTTTACAAGGAAAGAATAATCATTCAAAGTGTCATTATGCTCATTTTTCATTGTCAAAATGAACTGCTTAGACTATATATTTCAAAAGATTGACTATTATGATGGTAATTGAACAATAATTGATATTGCAAAATATTTAAGCTGAAATATAAATCATAAAAAAAACTGTCCCACTCCGTTTACAAATTGAACGTTATAGGTAAATTGCAATGGATATTTACAAAAAATTCTTTGGGCCACGTAATATATTAATCGGGGATAATGTCACTTTAAAGTAAACCTACTGGAAAAAAACCGTAATAATTACCTTTTCTACAAGTATGAAGTCAGATTCACAACAGTGCAGTCTTGCATAATTCTATAGTGTTGGCATCTTAATTTTATATTTTATTGTTAAAATATCTTAAAACTCAAATGAACTGTTTCAAATTCGTACCAGGACAAATCTTATATACAAATTCAACAAGTTAAGAGTAGATAGTGTCAATAGCTTATGTGGGTAAAATTTTATGGTACTTAAATATCAAAATTTATAAAATCGTAATAAGAAGTGTATTTATTAATGACTGTTTTCTTTGAAAAAAATAAACGTATTCACATATAGTCTATAAATACCTGGGTAGAGATGATTGTTACACATACATACTTTACGAAACAATGACAAACACTTTGAAATTTTGAAATTAAATGAATCATAACCAGTTTTATTAGGATTTTTAGCCATATGCAAAGATCATTCTAATTATCAGATTAATAAACTATAATACTAATTTTCTCCACAAGATATTTGTTACCAAATGAGCACATGACAATATTTGTGGTTAAATCTAATGTTATTCATTTAAAGATATACTATGCTCATCTTTTGGTGAAATATTTTTATCTTTGAAATGTATTGAAATCCATGGAATTCTTACTAAATGTGTTTAATTTGAATAAAATAATGAAAAAAACTATGAATGGGAAGCTGCATTCCCTATTACGGGTCAAGTATAGTTGGTTTTTTCTTAAAAAAACTGCCAGTTTTTTTTAATGACACTATATATTCATATTGTGACCACCTATAGTGTGTAGAGTTCAAAACATCTCATATCTACCTTAAATGAAGTCCAAACATGTTTATTTTATACATACAAAGAGACTGTGTAGCAATTATTTATATTTTTAAAAATCAAATTTGAGCATAGTATATCTTTAAGTGAATGGCATCGGGAGGATTTTTTATTTCTAAGCACAATAAAGCATCGGCATTTTGTTGCATGCAGCGGCAAATACTATGTTTTTTTAGATATTCATGTGGTAGGCATGCTGTGTTTAATTATTATATTCTTGTTTCCTTGTTATTATATTCCTTGTAAAAAAGATATATAACGCAGTAATATAGTGTTTGTTATATGAAACATTGTTACGGGTATTTCTTGTTCATCCCTTGTATTATCGTACTCTGGTTATCGGTTACTAGTTATGTATTCAAATTGTTTCAGTTATCCCAGAACAGTGCGTGTTATTATAACATGCATTTTTTCTAAAAGGCTTCTTGTTAACCTTAAATTATAAAATATATTAAAAATACCTACTGGCTTAAGTGTTATGGAAGTAACATAAGTCACATATCGAGTTTAAAAATGTCTCTTTTACAATTTTAAGTATTTTCTAATGCCCATCAGATTAAAATGGATATAAAGTTTACATTTAACTCGTAACATTACATCATAATACATGATCAGGCATACGGTGTGTTGATGTAATCTATAACAAAGTAATTACTTTAAGTTTTCGAAAGGAATATAAACTAATTTTCATATTAACGTGAAATAGTTCTTATAGAAAACATAGATGATTTCATTGTAATTTGCTTAAATTTTGATTTTAAAAGCGATAAAATTGTTCTAAAGTCAACTTAATATCGCTGTGAATTAATGTTAAAATACACTTTACAATTTGCGGACGTGCTATTGTATGCAAAAAGATTTTTTTAACTGATGGATCAACTCTGAATGTTTACGCTGAAATCATACACATCGCCAATCATGAACCATAAATAGAAATCACGGTTGTTTATTGATATTTTTTTTCATGTTACCTTTTCATGTATACATATCTTCTATCTACATTAAAAAAAACTGAAAATAATTTCAGATATATTGAATTATGCAGAATACGCTCTATTTCCTCCATGTATAATATTCACTAAAACTAGTTAAAGATAATAAGGAATCAAATATTTGTGTAATATATGTAACATATTACAAATATAACCACAGGTAAGCAAACTTACTAATTTAATATACATATAGTTTACTGGATTTTTTATTTTCAAAATCAAGCATAAATCAAATTTAAAGCTGTATCCCTGAAATAGTAATAACATTACATATATGCAAAACAATTAAAAAACTATAAAAAATAAAAACCTTTTATTCATTTAACAATAAACCGTGATTAAAGTATTCAGAAGTCACATTACGTAATTCGTCGCAATTAAAGTGGTAATGGCGTTCCAAAGTTAAAAAAGCTGTCGAAAAACAACTTGTTATAAAATACACATTTTTAAGCCGTTTTACGCATGTTTAACTAACACAGGGGTTAATCAGAGGTGTAATTTAGTTTGAGTTGAAACTGTTTTTCCGGTGAATATTAATACCTGTTGACCTTCAACGGATATGCATGATATCTGTAGTATTGGAGACGCTTTGTTCGCCTATGGAAGATCGTTGCAGTCAGACAGAATCTCAAAAAGTACCGCGATAAAAACCCTTTTTTCTATGTTGCGCAACTTCTGATATGATTTATTTCAATTCATATGCTTACTATAGCAGACAAAACTTTTTCTGTTGCAAGCAATTTATTTGAGGTCGAATTACAGAATGACTGGACTAAAAATGCTAAATCAAATAACTACTTAGGAAAAAAGCAAAATATATATATATGGCCAATGGTGATATTTTAGTTAAACACTGGCGTTTAGTGCTATGGTTTTGGATGTTGATTATATTCCATTGATTATCCTAAAAATATCATGAAATTCAAATAATAAAATTAAAGATTTATTTTGTTTGATAAAGCCGATTTAAAAAAAGTTCCTTGACAATATGAGCGTCTTACAGACTCAATCAATGTATAGACTCAATCAAACCGAGTCTGCAATTCTCTTGTTATTTTGTTGCGATTTATGCTTCCGAGGGATCACTTTGTTTCCAGATGTTTACCATAAGTTATATATTACTTACTAAATAAGCCAGCAGAAATTATATCATTCAAAAAATATTTTTCGTATTCAAAAAAGATATCAAATCATATAATAAAGAGAAATGAAATCTTTTAGGTATGGTTTCATTGAGACAGTTCATGGATGGTACTGAAAAGTGCACGCTACCGTCTACATCAAAAAGTTATCATGAAAAAAAAATTCTTTGAGAAACCAACGTGGACTTGCAGGGTTCATCATGTATAATTTAACATGATAACATGCGACAAGGCAATTTAATGTACATGTATATGTATTTTTTTCAGATCATGTCCAGGCAAGCAAAGCGCAAACATGAGGATATTTCGCCTGGTGATTATACAATTTGTATTGAATCTGCGGACAAACTTGCTGGAGCATGTAGAGCCACGATTGGTTTTCAACTTCTTGGAAACGGCATAGAAGGTGACGAGGATGAATTTGCGTACATGAATTTCCTAAACATTTTATCAGAGGGCATAAAAACTCTTTCAAAATAGTTGAACCAAAGGTAAGTTCGTTTAAATAGTGTACTATTCTTTGCATTTTTTTCATTTTTTTATATATTGGAACACATAATTTATGTAGCATTGATTTATACTGAGACATGTTTGATATTAAATCATGAAATGAATAAATTATCTATTCACACCGTTTAAGATTATTCTTGGTAAAGAACTTTACCAGGATGGATTCAAAGAATATTACGTAACAACCATGCTATACTTGATCAATATGCATGTACTGTCTTGGGCTGCAACTTTATTCGAACTAAGACTGTTATATATTCTACCCTAAAATATTTAGATTAAAGACGTCGACGGTATTAAGCTCCGTGGAGAAACTATGGTAGGAGAAGATGGCTGGAAAATAGACAGAATTACCGTTACTAACGAGAAAAACGGGGGATAAGAAGATCGTTCCAGTTTTTACGTCCATTGCTAGGAACAATGTTTACCTATTCAAGGCTAACGATGTGTGTTTGCCACACAAGTCACCTGGCAATGAAAGTAAACAATTTTTTCTATAATGCTATATAAGATGCCAAGACAAATATTCAATACATGCCACAATAAGTAAATGCATCAATTATCACCGCTATTTGAACGCATAGATCTGCGGATGTTTCTAAATTCAGAATTTTACCATTTTCATGCTTATATGTTCAAATTTGCATAAACCGGTGCTAGAAGGAGGGAATTGATAGATGCTAGCACTAACCTCTGCCGTACATGCTTAATCAGCTCTTTAATGTCCAATTTTTTGATTGGTTTTTATGAATTCCTATATTGGAATGCAAATTGTATTTATAATTTTTCCCCGTGCGTGCTTTGCCCTTGTGCCCTCTCTAGTTTATGTTTGGTGCCCTGCTGGCCTCTCTGCCTGTGGTTCTGTGTTGCTGTTTTTTGTTAGGGGATGCGTTCATTGAACGCCTTGTTTATCTTTGTTTTCACTTTTCAATCAAAACGAACCTGCATTTTTTCTAAAGTTTGCCGCTTTGAACGCTTTTTAAATTTTCTATTTTTTATGTTACTTTATTAAAATATCATTTTGACTTCAAATATAATTAATTATAATATGATTTAACGAATGTTCCTGCTCTTCATCTGTTTCTATATTTTCTGTTATTTTGGTCATTGGTCATTTATTCCAGAATGTTGTAAAGAGATGTTTCAGTTGTAACTATCCCTCAAGCGCATACGAAATAAACCTGGTCTGCATTGTTTAAATATCAACTTCAATATTCTTGCTATTGTGTAATATTCCCTTTCTAGAATTGTTCATTAAATTCATGAAAAGTAAGTGATTTCAACAAATGTAATGTTTTAACAAGTTTTCCTTTAATATCTAAAAACCATGTCACTATAAGGCCACGTTCTCATGGTGTCCAAGAAAAATGTAGAAAGCCGGTCGATGCCATGGTTTTATGATACATAGAAGTTCCATTCACGGTCTGCACTCAAGCATGCAAAAAGACCAGGCGTTCTGATAAAAGATAGTAAGTCTGCTGTAAAGTCGCTAAAGCAACGTATCAGGTTTACTAAAACATCAACCTATTCAGTGCAGTAACTCTCTTAAACTTCAATAGGAGCTTCGAGGACGCGCACGTGCGTTTGTTCGTATGTCATTGTCTCTCTACCGCACAGTCAATTGAAAGGAATGCGGAGAAACGCCATGGAAGCTTCGTAGTTATACCATAATCGATGTAAGAATATAGTAATATCCAAATCTTTGGGAATATTTTTCTTGCAATTTCACGATGCTCTGGAATTTTTAACAACGTCATGTTAACTCAGTATAATGTGACAAAGGCATAATATATTCCCGTACGTAAGCAGTTAGCATGCAACTCATGTGTTGTCTCATCTCATCTGGTATGCATGTTTTTAAAAAAATCTTTTAAAGGTGAACAAACTTCGATTTAAAAGAAAAAATGCAATGCACATGATACTAATATACATATATAGGTCAATTATTTGTTGGGCAAAAAATCTTCCACCAAAGAAATATTTGCAATAAAAGGCTTTTTTTTTGCATGAACAGGCTCATTCAAACCGAGCCTGCAACATTTTACAATTTTTCCGTGTTGGGCTTTCTTTAGGGATTCTGTTGTTATCTATTCATGTATTTGATCTTTTTTTATTTCAGAAAAAAGGCAGCAAGAACTTGACAAAGTAAGGAAAATTTATGAGCTCTCCGACGACAAATTACCTGGGGCACCTCCGCTTATAAAAGAGATACCTTCATGTGAAAAATTTCGTTGTCGAGATAAATTGTTAATTGCTGTAAAAATGGCATGTTTGAAAAAAGATGCCGAGGAACAGATGCCTCGTCATGGCAAAGGCGCTTTTCATACCATTGACGAGATCAAAAGTGTGTTCGATTGTGTCTTCCCAGAACCATCAAACATAGAAAGGTATATAGAGTACAATTTTCATTATAAGTCAACTATTTGCTAAGTTGGTGGTTAGTAGTTTTAAGAATAATTATTCAAGCTCTTTTGTGAATCAAGTTATTCGAACTTATTATCCATCAAATGAAACTGACAAAACCTGATGCATTTCAGGAGCATAATCATGGGTTAGAAAACCGGAAGTGTTCGGATCCACGACCAATCAACCGACCGGTTGAGAGGTAGTCATTTAAACCACTTAGTTGTAGCTCATGTTCTATTCTTTGGTTGAAGGTGCTAAACATGTCTCATATACTCAGTTTATAGTTTTGTATTATGAGACAAACATATTCTCTTTCATGGGGACCAAAAATACCACATGTCGGTTCCATGATCAACGCCGTATGATTACTATGTTATGTGATGTTTCTAAATTCAAATTTAGACCATTTTCAAACTTGCTGGTTGCTGTCCTCTATAGGTAACGTTTGGTGTACCGTTAACCGGTTTTAACTCCTCAGTGATGTTTTTTCCTACAGACGGTTCCAAGTTGGTGCCTCTTCTTGTTCATTCTGTACGTACCTGTACTAAGTGTTCTGTTTTTTTTGCGTTCCAATTAACCTGTACTTAGTTTTTTACATCCTTTTCAGCTTATTAATGATAATTAATCCATTTTGTTCAATAAAATAATTAAGTCTAAGTCTAATTAGCCCCTTCCTCGGCACAGTTAGTCTATCACAGGTCGTTTGGTGCGATAGCTTCAGGATATCATTTGGGCTTCATTCCGTGAACGCTGCTCTCACTTCTTGATTTTTAGTTGTTTTCTTATTTTAAAGTTTCCTTTTCTGACCTCTTTAAGGTGCACGAGTATAAGATGAAATGTTCCAGATACAGGTCCCAAATACTAAATTTATCAAATAATTTTATATCGTTTGTTTAATTTCTCTAACTTTCCCTTCAATTTCAACTGACGAGAAATTATTGTGGTCCCGTTTGTCGAAACGTTGTCAATGGGCAAGAAAATGTTTATATATATATACAGTCACATTCCTCCATTTACGGGGCATCGGTCTACTTCAGACCATACTTGTGGGGTTCATATTTAATGTGGGAATACATAAGGCCTCGCAACGCTAGCATGTTTAAAACGATGTATGAGGGCGTAGGCTACCCTTCTAAAATAGTGCCCGTAGGCCGGTTTTAGTAGTTAATGGTATATGTCCCACAAATGTATATACTTTAATGGGGTTTTATGTTATTGGTCAATATGTTTTCACTTATGGTAAAATTATATATATAGTTGATATATATAACTTAGTACCCCTTAGTTCTGTTGTATGGAAATGTTCATTTTAAGCCTACATAGTGGCGTATATAAAAACTGACTGCATGAAATAATGCCACTCAACTCGGTCTTATATATAGGCCCCGTAAGTGAAGGTATGTGTGAATATATGTATATATATATATATATATATATATATATATATATATATATATTTATTAATACTTTGCTATACTATACTCGGATACTATTTCTACTTTGATTAAATTTTTCTTTATTTTAATTGCACCTACTATTTGAATCTTAACACATATAAATGTATATGTATATTTCCTCTGTATTCGGGGATACATGATTTAATATTCCCATAAAATTGTTTTTCATGTTTTCATAACCTAAAATTTTATTTTCGATAGTAGAGTCATTTTAATTCTAAACTTATTCACTAAAATATAACTTTGATAAAGTCCCATTAGCAACTTTAATATCAACAGTCATGACAGGTTTTTAAAACAACACCCTTCTCCTCCTCCCTTCCGACATTAAATTGAAGATATTATTATTTGTATACCTCTATGTCCTATTTAAAAACAGGTGTTTTTGGGGACCCAGTTTGCATACAAAAGTCCCTTGACACCTGTTTTTCCATACCAGGAAATTTTTTCTACTTTTGCATTAAATACAAATTGATAACCATCAAAATTAGAATAGTAATTTGGTTAATAGCTATTCCATTTAGAATAAATACATAATGATCATATCTAGTATCAAACAATCAAAATATCTAAGATTTCTATGAAAATCATTGAAATATCCAGAAATTGATATAATTAGGCCCAATGAAGCTAAAATGGAAATGCAACATCTATACAATTGTATAATAACAATGAACAAACATTATTAAGGGCCTAAACTAAAAAAATGCCATCAAGTTCTGTGAATTAAAACAAAAGTTGTAGTGATTTTCCTATATAGTATATCAACTATAGGATAGTCAATTTATTACAATAAATAAGGAAATATTACTCTAATTGAACCTCTTCCACAAGGAAATGCTTGTTGTTAACAATTTTTACATAGTAATAATTATTAACAGCAATCTTTGATAGACTTAAATAAGAAAACCCCATCAATTTTCACTGGAAATTAAGAAAGATATGGCCATTTCCCTATGTTATACAAATTTTATAACAAATATGCATAATTACTCAAAGTGGACATTTATAGTACAAGGGAAGTAACTTAGAAATGGACTTGATACTGTTTTTCCAATAGGCAAAGTAAATTTACTTAATAAACAGCTCTATAAACATAAGATGTTAGTGATAAAACCTATTTTGAGTATAAGTTCTTTATTCTCCACAAGAATAACATATTTCTTGTTAATAATATGGGAAAAATAAAAGTTGTATAGACAATAAAGAAAAATTACTATTGATAGCATGAGTTGTCTACTCTCCTCTTAAATATTTGTGATCTGTTTGACACCATGTCATAAACTAACTTAATTTAGATATATATGATCATATGGAAAATACTAAGATAGATTAGTAATGATAATGAATTAATAAAATGTCCTTTAATCACTTTATTAAAGAACTTTTCACTTTGTATAAAACAATTTTAACATGTCAGAGCAGTTTATATGATAAATTTTGAGCCCTGCTATAAATTATTTACTTGCCTTGGTGCCAGACCACAATTTGAATTTAGACCACAGCTGTCTTCTCTCGGCCAATCAGAGAGGTTTAAAAGTGTTTGATATATCCCACACATCACAGTATTAAAAAGTGTTTGATATAACTATCATGTTTGTATTCAACTGAAAGGAAAAACACGTTATGTGCACGCTTTATGAGGGGAAAATTTCTATGTATATTGTAAAGTAAATAGTGTAATTCCCTTCTAAAAAAACAAACAGATAGCAATAATCCTTTGACCAATTTATTTTGACATTTCATCATTTTACAAGAATAGTTACTGTATTTGTTAATAAGAAAAAACTAGCAATAATGATGTAAAATTCGTTTATCTATCTATTTAAATCTATATATGTATCTAAATTTTACGACGGCTTTTCAGGCACTATGATTTCAATAATCGCATCTTGAATTATGCCCGGCGCACTCTTAATAGCAGACACTGTAGACGTACATTCATTTACTGGTTTAGGAAGAGGGGATTCCACTGGTGGGGAAGGGGGTGGAGTTTCCGAACAGTGACTGGGCTGCGGTTGCAACGCTAAGAAAATTCTATGCTTTAAAGCTTCAGAGGGACGTTTGTAAAAAGTTTTCAGTTCATGAATGAAGTAAAAAAAGTCAATGCAGGGTGTGTATAAAGCATACAATAAATAAACGAATATATATATATACGTCAAGTAAAATATTTTCAACTTCAGCCGAACAACCAATAAATATCCTGAACCCTATTGTTGTTTAAGCATTAAGGAAAACGTTACCTGCTCGTTTCTCCAACGAGCCCACGCTTGATAAGTAGCCATCGCCCATGATTTCTGTCTAAGAGTATATTTCGGTAAGTAGTCTTGCTTCCAAGCGCTGTATACGGTGTTATGTCATTAAATCATTTAATTGAGGAATCAACAGGAATAACAACAAAAATATCCCAAGTTTCGAAATAATAATGTTATCCCATTCAGAAATGTTAAATTCTTCCAAATTTTCTTCTGACTGCACCTTTGCATCTATCTATCATTCCATTCAATAGATTGTGTATTCAGTAATTTATGAAAGAACATGAATTATGCCATTTTCTCGTGCATTTTTTGCCTACAATAAGGCCATATAGATTGAATAAGAAATATTTGGATATCCCTATGTAACTGTCGGAGAAAAAAGCCGTTTACACATGTTTAATCTTCACCTTAAACAGAGAAAACTACCTGTGGTCTAAGTCAGATAGATCGCTCGTACCAGTTGGATGTGAGATTTATCAACTCGCTTCGCTCGTTGATAAATCTCACATCCAACTGGTACTCATGATCTATCCTATACCTAAACTTACTACAAATAATTATCTCCATTTTCCATGTTACTCAAAAAAGTAATTTATAGTCGTTTTCTTTCTTTTGGTACGCACCTTCTCCATGTGAAATTATAGGATTATAATATCGAATCTTCTAGTATTCCAAAATCAGAAATTGTTTATTTTGGGTTTAATATTTCAACATATTATACACATGTTAAGACAAATATAGCATGTAACACTACAGGTTCACATTAATTTTTTGGAAATAGCAACTTAATGCTATATATACATTGCATTGGTAGCATATATCAGCCTATTGGAGACAGCTCCACCTTATCAAGCTACATATATATAGTAGCTATATGTGTTTTTATTTTAAACTGGCAAGGGGTGTTGCTATTATTACTTTGTTGTTTTTTGTGATAGTTATTAAGAGCTAAAATATATATAAATTTTATTTGTTTTAATTAATAATGTACACATCAGATACCATTTATTGTAAATACCTTATTGTTTCTTTTATTATATGTAATTTAATTTTAATAGTGGTCCTAAAAGTGGTTTTGAAACGATGAGATAACTATTTATTGTTTATTTATCTACATTTTTAATACATTTTAATATAGATTTTCT